TAGACGGCTGTTTAATTTGCATGCTGGCGCCCGTTGCAACGAACTTTCGTCGCAATGAAAACGCGACAAAAAGTCGCGACAAAAAGCCTCCACCTCGAGTTTCCTTGCATATCCGTATCGAGAGCAGAAGATCGGTCGCGTTAAACGGATCGGCAACGTCGAACAAATTCGATCGGTCCAGCGACGAGTTAAACGGCGGCGGCGGCGTTGATAACACGCCGTGGTTGGACGAGGATATCGTGAAAAACGTAACGTCGCGTTAAACGGAGAAGAAATCGCGAGCGATCTTAATTTGACGCGCTCCACAACTATACACGATGGCCAGCGTTCTACGCCGTGCAACATCCTTCCATCCTTCCATCCAACCATCGTTTCATCGTTTTAATTAAAATTAAACTAATTGCCTCGCTATCGGGACGACACGGGGGAGAAAAACGGGGAGAAAAGTGGCCGTGTATACGTAGAAACGACAATGAAATTGGTATTGGTTATAATTGCGTCATTCCAATATTGTTTGCCCGATGGTTCGAATAACGATCATCCATTTCCACCAGATAGATGTACATTGTCCAAATATTTGTCGAGCACCGTGAAATCGCGTATATAGCTATACGCGCTAACTTATAAAAACAAGGTTCCTACGTGCGCGGCACGTTAAATATTCGGCCAATATCCACGGGCGAGCAATTTTTTTTTATTTGTTCTTCGTTAGTCGATATAGTTGCCGTAGGTATCCACCGTGATACCTACGTTCGTTAAGATATCGCGGCGCGGCGTTTCGCCGTGCAAATACTCGCCGGTTCCGGATTTCGGAATCGCGTTGAGTGGAAAATGGCGGCGGTCGCCCGTTCGAATTAACCCGATATCTAATGTATTCAGGCCGCGCGTTACACGGGAAATTAAAGTTCACGAGTGACGGGTCGTGCGAACGACTTCCGTGAAATCAACGATCCTCGTTGTTCCACCGTGGCGTTCCATCAATTAGCCTCGTCGCCGGCGATAACGCGCCCCCGCGAATCATCGTAATCCCTGAAAATGTATTTCGCCGGACAAGCTATATCCATTTAAGCGTCCTTCGTTCTCTTTTCTTTCCCACTTTTCCTTCCTTTTTTCTTTTTTTTTTTTTTTTTTTTTTTTAAGAAGAAAAAAAAGAGACATGCACACAGGTTCAATCTTGAAGAGGATAGGGGATAGAGAGACGAAAAGAATGCCTAGACGTTTAAATTCGTTAAGAAGGGGGGGAAAGGAGGGAAAGTAGCATTGCTGTTCTCAGCGCGGATGGATTAAAGGAAGCGAGAATTTATCCACCGCGTCGCGGGAGATACACCGAGCTATCGACTTTCAAAGGCAGCCGACTTTATAATTCCTCGTACATCCAACAGTTAATCCTTTAATCCAATAACGATGAAAGCGAGGTTCGGTGTTCGAACGCACTTGAATTGAAATCGGAAAAGGCGTCTCGAGATCCTTCCGAGCCGAGTGCGATAAGGAGAGGCTTCTCAAAGGAATCGGGGGGGAGGGAGAATAGGAAGAGGGAGAAATAGAGCGGTTGCTCCATTTCAGGGGTCGCTCAAAGAAGAATATAAATGCTAAGTGTCCACTCTCTTTCTTCTTCCTCTCCTTTCTTCTTCGCGCACAATTCCTGATATTTTTTTTTCTTTTTTTTTTTTTTCGAAGAAATAACGTACGATTCCTCTTCGATTCCTGAACGAGACAACTTTTCGATACAACGCGAAGCTGGATAATTCTCCTTAAAAGGCAATTATTTCTCCACACCTGGCACAATCGATGCATTCTCCATTAACGAAATTAGGCGGCCAAGTAGTCGATCCGTTCTGGAATTGCCCTTCCGCAACGTCGTAGTTAACTTCCCTCTCTCCATCCCTAATCGCCTTTGATGATGGTAAATTGGTCGCGCGATGTCGGGAGAAGCGAAGAAAATTTCGGGATAATCGGCGATACTATTTTCTTAATCGTCGAATCGTCTCGTTGCTTGCATCTCTGTAAGAGATCGTTCGTAGAAATGTTCGTAGAAAACAATAACGGACTGGTATGATTCAATCTTTCTTTTTTTTTTTTTTTTCCAATCGATTCCAATTTTGATTTTAAATACGCGAAATCTTTCGAAAAGGGTTATCGGTCTCGTAAATTTTCATCGTATTAACTCTCGGCTCAGGATGGAAAATGGGTGTATCGACTGGCGATACACTGCGAATCACGCAAAGTGATATAATACCATTGATATTTTAATAAGCGCCGATGAAATTCCGAATGATGGAAATCTACTCCGGAATTCGTCCGAGAACGGGGAGGGGGGAGAAATTGGAACGAACATTTTCATACACCGATTTTCGGACGAATTAAATTTCGAACGTGAAGTAAACGTCGATCGAGTTAAACGTTGGAAAAGAATAAAGAGAAGAAAATTTTGGAGATATCGGGTAAAAAGAAATATCCTTTGCTTGTAACTTCTCGCAATGTTACCCTTTCCACCCTTTTCCACCCACGAATCTCCACAAAATCGTATCGCTAATTAATTTATTCATTCTCGAATTTCTAAACAAACTTGGCCAAACAACAAAATCGGACATCGGATCCGATCGTTGAATTATTTCAAACGGGGTGTAAACAAATCGTTGGTTTAACGTTAAAAAAAAAAAAAAAAAAAAAAAAGACTCGATATCTGTTTCCGCAAATGTTTCGTTGGCCTCGATTCGGCAATGCAAATAACAAGATAAATTAAAGAGCGGGCCAGTTCTCGTTTCACGGTTCACGTTTAAAATTCGCGATCAATCGAGAAGGTTCGAATCAAGTTTGTTTCGGCGTTGCTCGATCGAATTTATCCTCCGCCCGATCTCCCTCCTTCGCTCGGCTTATTCGATTCGGTTCTCTCGAGGCGAAGTCGTGACCCTGTTCTCGCTATTCAAAAGTTAGATCCGGAAGTTAACTTCACACTCGAGGCTCGACCGTCCGCCGGACAGACTAATTTCGACGATGCAGTCGCGTAATACGCGTACGTGTCTCGCGTGATTCCCAAGTTTAGGCTGCTTTCACACACCATCTCGAAAATGAGCGAAATTCGTCCTGAATTTTCTCGACGCGAGCAGTAGTAGTAGTAATAGTAATAGTAGCAATGGTAGTACGGAACGACTACGCTGTTAACGTTTCACGTATTAAATCGTTGCTACAGTTTAGAATCTCATCTCACCGCCCGAACCGGTCGATTTCGACACCGGTTGGACAGACGGCGCACAAATGCCATCGATCAAACGTCCTCTGGCGATCCTATCGCCTCTGGCAGAAGGGAAATGGATTTCATTGGCAGGAGATCGCCCATGTTCCTGTCTCTATTCACGGTCTATCTACGGCCGGCTATTATCATAATTAACTTGCAGTTTTGGACACCAGCCGGGAGGTAATCGACGTGAGACGAGACTAAAGACTTTAGTTCGAACTAAGTAAAGTAATACGATTTTATATATACGAATATTACGCTTTAACGTAACGTTTATCGAAATACGTTTAACGTTTGTTGTGTATTGGATCGGCGCAATTACGGTAATACGATATGTGTATACAATTTCTAATCAATCTTCATAGATGATCTCATCGAAATGTTTACCAAAATATACACGGGATCGAAAACGAGAAATGGAGGCAAAGGAAAACAAGGTCTATCGAGAGTGACCGGCTAGTAGCTAGGATTTCATTATTCCATCGGTTATTAAATTTCCATAACGAAGAGCATAGCGTGTCCTTTCCTCGCTGGTGTCCTCCCTTTTGCAGGGCGAACGTTTGGCGCAGTAAGTTTGCGAATCGAGCTATAAATCCGGCAACGACTCAACTCTTTGGTTGAATTTTAGAAGAGCACGGCGATAAACTACGTCAACGAAAGGAATCCTGGGTTTCGAGGGATAACGAACCAAAAAGAAAAAGTCGCTTTATCGACGACAACATTTCTCACTACGTTCCCTACCATCCGTGTAAACCAACGTGCTCGTCCATTAACGTAAAATAGTTATTTTTTTAACACAAGCGGAAGCCACGATAACCACATCGCGTAAACGATTGGAGAACACAATTCGTTTTATCGTTGCCGGCAAATTAAATAATCTAGGAAATCTGTCGGTACGCGCACGAGCCAACAGAAAGCGAGTCGTTCACCGAGTCTAGAGAGGTGTTCGACACGATCGATCATTCTCGTTGTTTGCGGTAATCGTATCGGTTGTTCAAACAACTCGTTTCCAACGAGTCGTAAAAATGGCAGCTGCCAATCTATGCCTTCGACTCCCTTCGTGCCTGCTCCTATCAAGTTGGCGAGATTCGTTCGAACGCGGGTCACGGACCGCCCGAGTTCGTTAGCTTTTTGTCCGTCCTTTTACCCATCCGAGGTCGAATTCGTTTACCTGCCGTGGCGAGTCTTGCAAAAACTTTCTCCTTTCTTTCTCCTCGTATTTAACCATTCGATAACACAGAGGAGATTCCCGGGGAGAGGAAACGAACTCGTAATAATGCGTAATACGTGATAGGTATAATACGGTTCGATCCACGAATTTTCTCGTGGAAAAACGAATCAAATTCGAAAAGAAATTGCGTTGCGAACAATCGATCGAGCGATGGTAAGTTCTGTAGATGAAAAATGATGAAATTTTGAAAGACAGGGGAAAAAAGGGGAGGACCTATGGAACCGAATCGGAATTGAAGAATCATTCCGAGCGATTCTGCTAATTCAGAGAGAATTTGGCCTGATCAGCGGATCGAAACGAAGATTGTCTACTAACAATAATACCCTTTGTTGATCGATCGTTCTTACTCGTTTACTACTTACTATTATCTAACTAAAACACGGCCTTAACCGACGGAATACTCGTCTGTTCTACGTCTTCTTCCAAGACGGAATAATCCCGAATTCTTTTCGGAATCTTCTCGTTTCCGAAAGTATAAGACGGTGTATCGAATGGACCGGGAATCGCGTGTTAAAAAAGGTGAAGATCACTCACCGTTCAGCAGGATGACGAGGATCCAAAGAAACGGAAGAGCCGGAGCCACGTGGCGTGGTGAATCGGCGAACAGACAGGGGCTCATCCTGATCCAGAGTCGATTCCGTTCCTCGCGTGCCGCGGTCATCGGGGGTCTCGAAAAAGGGGGTAGATGCTCGCGGATGGAAACTCTACCACCGTCCACTCGGGCCCTCCACGCAAGGATCGACTTCCTTTCTCTCTTTCTTCCTCTCTCTCTCTTTCTCTCTCTTTCTCTCTCTCAATACGATGTTCCTTTCGATGTTCAATCCTTATCCAACACACCAGATCTGCGCCTATTCCTCGCACGAAATCCTGTCTCTCAAGGCACTCGCCGCGCCGGGCGCCAGTGAGAGACTGTTCGACTTTCGTGGCGCGCGACAGGTTCCCGCGGTGATTCGTGGTTCGTGCGCACTCGGTTGTCCTCGGCCAGCCTCGGCTTCGCTCGACCCACACTCAGGCATCCTGCGCTCTCGCGATCCCGTGGTGAGGCGGCCGCACCACTACTCGCCCGCTACCTGCACCTACGCCCCGCCACAGGCCTAAGTACCGCTCGCGAGTATCCGTGTGCCGGGGGGAGGGGGGTTACGAGAAGTTCCGACCGCAGCTCAGGCTGCGCACCAGGGAGCCACCACCTCACCCACCTTCTCTCCTCTTTCCTTCCGTACGTATCCGTGTGATCCGGCTACAACTCCTCCCTCGTCCCATCCTTATTCAGCGAACACCGTCCGTCCATCCAGCCTCGACCACCGCCGCTCCGTGTAGTGCTACGTGTCTGGTCTCCACCGCCGCCGTACGGTATCGGCCTGCTCGTTCGTTACCCAGTCCTCACCCGGTCCTCGCATCGAGCCCAACATCGAGCATCCACCTCGAACAACGTGGGGATCGGGGTACTTGTAACCTCGTAACACCTTGCCACCGTGTCACGGGCGAGAATTAAATAATAGAGCGCGCCGGTTACGTCACCGATTACCCATCTAAACAATTCTATTCCTGTTCCTTTCGCACGGAGTTTGGATGCTCGTTCGAGACCATGTATTCTTATCAAAAAAAAGAAAAAAAAAGATTTTACATGTTTAGAAAATAGGTATATGATACGATAAAACGAGGTGGAAAATAATAAAGTTAAAATAATCAGGGAGAGAGAGAAAGAGAGAGAGGGGGATAAGTGATATTATTATTCGGGTTTAAATTCTCTAACGAGAGAAAGAAGCTGTAGAATTTTACGTAAAATGTTCGATCTATCGGCAAACGCGATAATGATTTTCCTTTAATTAAAATACATTCCATTTAACGTTGTATAAATATTTCTTATTAATTCCGGCACGGTATAATCGCGAAATATTAATACCGTATCGATAATCGTTGCACGTGATACATACGTTTGGCTGACGATGGCGATCGTTAAATCGGGATGGGAATTAGATTTCAACGGCGTGAATTATTTTCCAAGATTTCAACCGGCTTTTCAAATGTCAGAAGCAAAGGTGAGCTCGACAATCGACAACGAGCGATCTCGGCACAGCGTCAAAGAGCGATACCAACACGTTGTTCCATGCGTTATTGGCGCAGTCATAGGCACAAAATTAAATAGCGATACCGCGTGCGATCGGCTCGAGCTTCATCTTCCATTTCTTCGAATTCGCAACCGTGTTCGATGCACGTTTTTTTTTTTTTTTTTGNTTTTTTTTTGAAAAATTACCCAAGTTCTTCAACCATGCGTGAACACAGCGGCGGAAACGGGGGAGCAAAAGAAAAAAAAAAACGTGCGTTTCATCTTGCCCGATTCGAAGCATCGAATGAAACATTATACACGTATTTCGCGATTATAAACCGCGTATTTGCGACGACGATACTGATAACGATACAAAAAACAAATTCGATAAAGCGAATAACGAAATCGATAAAAAACAATTCCACGATGACTTCAAACAATTGGTTACAATTCGTCGCGATACGCTATTTTTCTTTATTAAAACATGTATAAAGTCAATTGGAATACGTCATAGAATAAAAGTACTATCGTATCGATCGATAAAAAAACAATAGTATAGATAAATATAAAAAGTATATTATATATACTATAAAAATTTCTACCTTTTGAACTATCTTTTTGAAGACGATCTTTGATAAAGAACAATTTGGTAAAAGGTATTTAATAAACATGATACAGCGCAACGATTAAATAATCATATGAAATAAATCTCCCTTTCCGACATTTCGCTTTCGCAAATCCTTTGACATTTATTTTCGAGCTACGTGATTAAATTATCAGTATTTACTTGATTTTTCATATTATCACAAATTTTTCCGTAATTGTATATATCGTACTTAAGCCGGGAGAGAAAAAAAGTACAATATCATTCGCGTGAACGCATCTGTCTGAAAAATAGCAAAAATATAATGTGTAAAGAGTGTGGATAATACGCATCTAAATAAATTTTGTAACTTTTAATCTAATATTTAAAAACGAAACAACCAAAGAACTTTTCGTCGATTCTCTTCTCTTCGATTGCCGAGATATTCAGGCAGGTTTAGAGCACCTTTTTTTACGAAGAGAAAGAAACACCGATGAACATCTAGCAAAACGATTTCAAAAGCTATCGTCTGATTCGCAAAACAACAACAGCCGCTATTATACGAATAGATTGGCGAGCAGTTTTTATTGGAAACTGATACGTCGAGCAGCTTTTTGTTGAAACGAAATCCATTGACGCGGACCTGAGAAGCGGCCAGCCATGCAAATTATTTGGAACTGTACGCGCAACAAGAACACACGTATCCGGGGATCATTTGCGGCCAACTCCCCCGTACCACGATCACCTTGTTCCCGTTATTATTTGTTACGAGCGATCAGGAAGGAACGCCGCGTGTAATCACCAATATCTCGAAAGTAACCGAGACCAGGCTCTCATCAGCTAACGTTTTGCGGTAAATTAATGTCAAGGAATGATAATGATTAATTGATCCGTTCGATGATATATCGTTTCCGCGTTGTCCGTGATTCTTCTAAATTAAGAAAAGAAGTGAAGAATGGATAAATAAAGTGTGATTACATTCTCACGACCAGTAAAAATTGGAACGATCGATGAAATTTTTCAAGAGTTTCGTAATTGAATGTATAATTCGATAAATCATTATTAAAGTTAAATAAAAAGAAAAATTGATAATGGAGATTGAGAAAAACTTGGATTTGACTTGTGTTAAAAGTTAAGAAACTGTCTTGGAATCTTTTCCACTGTTCCCTTAATCCATAATATATTACGCTAATCTATTTATGAATATTTTTATATTCAATTACATGCTGAAAACAACGTTATGCATAATTTAATGTTAAGTTTATTCTTGCTTCATATATATTAATGGCGCATTAAAATATACGTAATCTTTCATATTTACCGCTCAATAACCACTTCAGCGTGAATTTCGTCAAATAACGATATAATTTAATAATAGCGCAATGTTCGATACATTCAAAATACATTAAAACGATAATACATTTTTATCGATATTATCGCATTTTTTAAAAAATACATATACATATATAGATATTCGTTATTCGTTATTCGTTATGAATCTTTCGAAGATGATTTAAATGATGAAATGATATATGAGATAAGATTTGTAAAATAATGAAGTTTTTCAAATATTTATTCCATTCAAATGTTTAAAAATTATTCAGAATTATAGCATAATTTAAAATTATTTAAAGACATTAAAAAATTTTTCCAAAAGAATTGAAGAGATTGTACGAGATAATTATATAAGTATTATAATTACTATAATGCAAAACGATATTTTGAATAAAAAGCCACTTTCTTCATATATTGTATTATCAAATATGTATAGTAATTTACATGCTAATAATATTGTTAATATATTTTAATTTTAATAATATTTTCTAATTATCTTACTTTTTAATATCATAATAATTGACAAAATAGATATGCATGTATGAAGATAAGTATCTATAACCTCTACAATTTTTAGAGTAATAAATTCTTTTGCTTGGCATCGGTGTATATATATATATATATTCTTTTTAAAAAACAAAAATGGAAGAGAATTTAAATTTGAAAGATTATTCCTTGTAGAAAGTAGAGTGTCGCATAATTGAAAATATATACATACATATATTACATAAATCTGCATGTATAATATATAATAATTATTCACATAACTATTTCACATAAAAAAAGTAAAACTTATTTTTATTAAATAAATTTAATGATGTACTCATAATATACAATCTTTAATATAAATAATAAAATGAAGAAACTATGAAACTACAAAATAATGTGAAGTTTTTCTTTATTGAACTCTTTATAAAATTTATTTAATTAGTAGACAAAGAGAATAAATAGTGGAAGAAAGACATAGATAGAGTAAAAATATTGAAATCAGCGCCATCTTCAGAATATCGCAAATATATACAAAAGGATAGAAGATATTAAGAAAAGGATAAAATACGATAAAAATGGATGATCAGCACCATCTCTTGAGTATTAAAAACACTTCTTTAAAACATAAGAATAAGAACTGAAGATCAATGCCATCTATGGAATTTTGAATTTTTTCTTCAAATATTTTTTAATAAAATAAAACTTAAAAAAATGACAGATTTAAATAAATAAAATTGAGAAAAGTTATAAAATTATAGAATTTCAATTTTTTTTATGAAATAAATTTTATTATTATTATTAATAATATTATAATTTTTTAAAAAATTCAATTCAATTCCTAAATTTAAAAATATTCTATTTAATTATAAATCTAATTTATAATTAACTTGCCAAATAATTTTCTATAATTTTTAGATTTTTCAGATTTTTTGATTCAATTTTTGGCTATTTTTTTTTTTTTTGTTTTTAAGAAAACAATATAATTAAATATAAATTCTATTTTAAAAATTCAATAATACAAGCTAATATTAATATATGAATATATAAATTAATAATCAAATAGACAAATATAAAAAATAAATTAAAAGAAAAAGAATAATTATTAAATAAGTATTAAGGAATAGACAAATGACACAGAAAAACAAAATATCTAATCGTCACAAAGTTTTGACAAGAGAATAATACGTCGTGTCGCAATTTCAATATATCGAATTATAAATTAGAAATTGGATTACGTTTAATAATTTGACAAATCAAAACATTGAATAAGACATGATATATAAGAAAAGATTATATATAAAAAATATATAAGAAATATGTAAGAAATATTTTTAGCTTTGGGCTTTCGAATATAAAATAAAAATAAACACAAGAAATAATAACACACGAATTGGACATACAAATAACGCAATTAGATAAGAAATATATGTATATATGTGAGAATATGTGTGTGTAGTATATATATATATACGAATTTATTATGACATTAATTATATCTAGCTACTTCTATTTTGTATATAAATAAAAGAAATTTATAACTATATTTTTGTTAAAAAATAAAATCTTACCATATTTGCATAAAAGTTCTTGAATTATCTTGTAATTATCACGGTATATATAAAACATTTTTCTATTCTGTGTTCGAAATTCCAATCAAACAATAATATGCACAAAAACGTTTAATTCTGGTATAATAATGATTAAACAAATACGTATTTAATTACTCGAGGCTTGATAATCAATAATTAAACTTAATAACTATATTATAATACTTTATCAATAAAAATTGTATATATCTGAACCGTAAAACGCGATCCATCACCACAATTTTCAACTGTAGACTAATGTCATGCGCATTATGATGCGCATTGGTTCGTTTCATTACTGAACTTTAGTAATTTTTTGATTGGTTACATTCTTTATTTCAAATCCGTGCAATAATTAAAATATTGTATAACATGTCATATTCCAATTGCAATCAATCAAAAAATTCAATTTAATTATTCTTTACAGTGTTCATATTGAAACTTTTCCCATAGTTTCCCATAGTTTCAAAGAGAAACTAATAATAAGTTATATAAAATCAAAATTTTTAAATAAATATTTAAAATATATAAAATTAAATTAAAATAAAACAATAAACAAGTCTAAAGTCTTAGAAATATATGTACTAACATGTATTAACTGCAATTTCAATTATTAAATAAATAAATTAAAAAAAATACTTTAATTAGATATTAATATATAAATAAAGAATAATTATGGAATAAATGCTATGCAACAGATAAATAATATATTTCAAGCAAAAATACATATCTTAAAATGATAATTATCTAAAATCTCATACTATAATTTCAATTATTGAATTACAAATTACGGAAAGAGTTTATTTGACAATTCGATAAATCGAGTTTACAAGAAACATGTCAAGCATGTTATAAAAGCGGATTTCCAATTTTTGAGAAAGAAATAATATATAAGAAATGTTTTCATAAATTATCAAACATAATATAGAATAATAAAAAATAAAGGCAAATATAATGAAAATAGCACAAATAAATATATTTCGAAAAGAAATTTAAAAAAGAAATCTAAAATAATGAATCTCTAAAATAATTTAATTTTATGAAATAAATTAAATATAATAAATTAATTAATATATATATTTTTTTAATAAAAAGACAATTAAAAGACAATTAAAAACTTATTCTAAATAAATCTATTTTTATGAAAAAAAAATATAATGAAATATTATTTGATATAAGTGAAAGTCATCGATAATAATTCTCAAATTTCTATGATACGAAAAAAACATTGAATGTAATCATGTCCATTTTATATCTTACCTTATACTTTGTATTTTTTGCATTCAAGAGATGGCATTGACAGTCAATTCTTATTTTATCTTATCCTTCTCCTTCTATTTGCTATCCTTTCTATATTTATTTCATTTGCGACACTCTGAAGATGGCGCTAATATTTCCCACATTTTTACTTTATGTTTGTTCTTCTTTCACTACTTCTTCTTTTTTTGTTTATACTTATTTTTAATGCGTGATCATACACATTGTATATACTTTCATTGTTTTTATTTCAAAATTATTAAGTGTACTCTCAATTTTTAATGTAAAATCAAATTACAATTATCTGTTTCATAATAATTTATATAAGTATAATTGAAGTAAATATAATTATTATATTTCTTATTTGTAATTTTATATTGAAATTTAATTACAATTGTTGTTTTTCTTAACATTGTTATCTTATTTTGAATCGAATTAATAATCATTGAAAATGAAAAAGAATCTTGATTTCTTTGAGATAGAAGAAAAAATATATTGAATATATCTTTTTCTTGACTTAGTTATGCAATTCTTTTCAATAATTTACGTAAAAAATTAAATATAAAAGAAAGAAGATAAATTTTTAAGAAAAAATATTAACAAAATAAAAGTTTTTTTTTTCTTTATCTGTCATCAACATATTATGAAACTTACCAATCACATACAAGAATAAGAATTAAACTATTATATTATATATCCTCAACTATTATCTTCAACTATTATTATTTGTGATCAATTAATATGATTATAACAGCATTATAAATATATACAAAATGTCTAAATATGAAAATTTAATACAAGCTATTGCATGCTTGAGTAAAAATATTTATAATTTTCCAATTGGAGCAGTCTCTATAGAAGATTTTAAACCAATTGAAGAAAAAATTAAAACTACTAGAGAGTCATTGAAACATTTAAATGCCAAATTATTATTACTTAAAGCACAAGATGAATACAGTATGTTATAAAAGTATTATATACAAAACAAATTATGATTATATAAACATTTTTGAAAATGATTTCAGAAAGAAATGAAGAGTCGGAAGAAGAAACAGAAAATATAGTAACAAATTTACATGAAGCAACAGCAAATTCTCTTATAAATAAAGCAGCAATTAAATTGTGTTTGCATTCTTATGGTATACAAGCTATTCTAACAGGTGAAGAAGGTGATCATGATATGCAAAAGTATGAAAAGTCAAATAATTTAAATCTTAAAATTTTAGAAAAAAAAAAAAAAATATTTAATAATTTTAATATCTTTTCAGAAAAATTTATGCATGTATGTGTAAACTTTTTGTTTTAAATGATAATATTTTGACTATAGAAAAAGAAATAGAAAATGCATTAAAAAAGCAATTAGAGTTAAAAATTCAATGTCGAAATGCACTATTTGAATATAAAGATTTTTTAAAGGAACAGGAGGAATTACGCAACAAAAGATTAGAAGAAACAAATCCTCAGCATGCAATGTAAGTATATCTGTGCCACAATATATCAATAAGATTTTAACTTATATTCTATTCAATTTTTTTTAGTAACAAAGAAAGAATAAATAAAACAATAGAAAAAATTAATATGATGAAAAAATTAATCGTAAATTTTATTGCTGCCTCAAGTCATATGTTAAATGAACCATTTTATGTACAAATGCTAGAAGATCATAGAGAATTAGTTAATTTTGAAACAATTTTAAAAATTTCTCAAAATTCAGAAATTACAAATGAAAATAGCTAAGTATATAAAAGAAAACATTATAAATGACATTCTATTCTTTATTACTTTTGTACTTTAACTTGTACTATGTTTTTAATGGAACAATTTTATGTAAATTTTAAATAAAATATATTACGTAATCTTTTGAAATAATAACTTTTTTAACTATTATTGAATACAAATTCTTTAAAAATATAATTTTATATCATTAACTGATAATTTCACATAATAACAATATGAAATTTTAATTTTTTTGAAATATTTTTTATATAAGGATAAAAAAATTTTAAGTACATCACATATTTTTTCCCCTATAGAAAAAATGTATACGTATATATGAGAAGATTCTTAAAACAAAATAAAAAACTTAAAAGTTAGATGTTTATTCTCTCTATTTACCGCATATTAATATAACTTGAAGCTTTGGAAACATTTTCTTTTTCTACAATATACGTTGAAAAAGAAGATAAAATATACTCGAAATGTATATTCGAGTTGTCAAATTATGTAAAGATAAAAAGAAATCGTACAAGAAATTTAATAAGAATTTTTTCGTTTGACTAAGTGCGCAGGCACAACGCTTATTTACAGGAAAAAATTTTCGCGCATTTTCAATATCTTTTTCAAATTCTATTAAAGCGGTTTTTATCAGACGGTTTTATGCATATATATATATATATATATATATATGTATACATTTATACATATATATATATATATATAAATTAGTCGATAAATAACAATTCGTAAGCCAATGATTACGAATTGAAAGATAGGATTTCAATCACAGCTTACAAGTACGATAGAAATGTATTATATAGGGGAGAGAGGTGCACATTTGCTGACATAATCAATAAAAACATGATTCCATTTCGTAAATTACATTGTCATTTATATTAAGTGAATATAACGCGTTAAATTTTTATGGTCCGGTGTGTCTTTCAGTCTCGTATTTCTCACCATTTAGGATGCAAACCGCTCTCCACCCTTTATTCTTACACGCTTGCTAGCGTAAACACAGAATCCATTGGAATAGTATTCAAACAATTTAATTTCTATGTACATTAATCTTCTTTTTTTTTTTTTTTTTTTTTTAATAGATTATTAATTTCGTAAGTGGAAAGAAAACGAATCCACTAATATAATAACAAAAGCATGATAAAAGTGAACAATGTTTCATTAATATAATAGAATATCCTCGCTCAAAAACTTCCGACATCTTTGTCTTTGTGTTTGTAGACATGTATGAAATGGACAAAATATTTCGAAGCATCTTCGATACTTTTAAATTGTCTATAAATTAGCGAATGGAATAATTATTAGTGATTTCATACTCCTTCATTTAATTTCGTCACAAAGAACACATCCACTTCTCACTGGCATCATTAAGATTACATGGTAATAAAATTAATCAATCGCTGCCATTGCGAGACAGTGGTATTTACTGTAACATACAGCTTATTAATCGTGATTATTGATATTGATATTATTTATGCATATATGTGTATATACATATATATAATTTGAAGCTGATACATCTCCCAACATCTGACATTTCATATATTTTAACTTTTCATGTTTCTGTGTGCGTACTTGTATATCCATTCCAATAATTTCTATTTACAAAAATTAATCGTCGCCCGATTTGTTTTTATTTTTCATAGCATAACGTCTCCTCACTATATCGATAAACTTCTCAAATTTTTATAACATCATCAATCACACTTCTTACATGAGCATACTATCATTATGCACATGAGCTGCCAGTTCCATACAAATGACAAATAATCATTGAACACAAGCTATAAAATGCTTCAGCAATGAATACATAGAAAAACGAATAATAATTAAAATGTACATTAATCGTATTATCAGATCATGTTCGCTGAATAAAATAACTCGCATGAATAATTTACTAAAAAAAAAAGTTAATAATATATAATGCGTTTTTAATAAATGTTATAAACATTTCGATGCAAAACATTTAAAAAACAAATCGGAATTGATTTATAATAAATTGAAAATAGAATAATGAAGAAAGATTTCGTTCTTAGAATGCATGCAGAAAATAAGGGGATTAAATAAATAATTGATAAACAAATATATAATTATAATTAATACAAAAAAAGATATTGAGTAAAATTTTTCAAAATATACATAATAAAAATACTTAATTTCGCTTTGTAATGGCTACAAAATAATCAATTGAAAAAAAAAACGCAATGGAAAGCACGTATTTTCTATGCATCATTTTGCAATCAGTTCAAATCTTATTAGAACATGAACGCATATTGTTTTTCTAATTGAGAAAAGAATAATACATCGCGTATTATTGCAATTCATTAAAAGCGAGGAAATGAAAGACATATACGTATATTGATCTTGATCCGAACTATTCGCACCAATTTATAAATATACAAATATAATCACTTTCAAACTCAATCATTCTTTCGGTAAAGAACGATAAAATTTTTCATTAGAACAAGATTAACAACCTTTTTATACATGAATGAATAAAGAAGAAAAAAAAATCATTATGAAAAAGGGACATATAGTATATCCTGAATAACATAGGGAAACATTTTCTTGTTCGTTCACAACCATACTTAACCAGCAGTCAGTCGTGTTGTATTAAAACTGGTGACGCATGAAAAATCGACTAAAAAAAACTACAAACTAAATTGCAACATAGTTGCAGCATAATCGTGCCAACGATATGTGGCAGAATAGCCATATAAATACGGAGGCTCTCGTTCATACACTCATTTTTCTTGCTTTCACTCTCTTTCATACATATTCTCATTGTCATTCTTCTTCTTTCTCTCCCTTTCTCTCTCTGTCTTCTTTCATAAAGATATTGTTAATCAATTTTGGAATTCATTATTAATGTATATTCTAATTGCGAAATTTGGTATATGTGCATATGTTGTATGTGTATTTTGTGATATAAATATATGTTCCATCAAGAGATCATAATTACAAATGATATTATTGACAAAAAGTAAGGAAACATAAGAAACATTAGTTCCTTAGCATTCGGATAACACGAAGATTCGTTCTCTTTCCACGTAAAAGCATACACACCGAAGGACAACAAGATCCTTCCTCTTCTTTCTATACTATCTCTTAGCTTTGTCATTCCTCTTTTCTTTATTTTTTTCTCGATCACACATTTCAGCGACCATTCTCTCTTCATAGCACTTACATTCGCACTCTTTCTCTGTATACAAATGTAACGTCCGATTGTTCGACGTTTACTTGCGTTGGCAAGTTTATAAAAGGAACAATACTCTTGCATATTTAGTGGGAAGATACAGATAATAACGAGAGAGGAAATCTACAAAGTTAATGGGTTTAGTTCTCATCTCCATTTAAGCGTATTACTTCAAGACATCCGACGGTCAATAACAACATGATACATTCAGATGTGAAGAAGCTAGCGGCATAATGCTTTCTTAATATTTTCTCTTTTTTTTTTTACATAAATCATGATACGCTCTCTCTTTTAATCCTGCTTTTTCTTTCTCGCTCTTTCACTCTCGTTCGCTCTAAGTACATCGAACGTCTCGTCGTCGGATGTGCTTGGCCATTAAATATTGAAACGTGTACGGGCACTCACGGTACACTAACACGGTACATCATATGGCTCGGCAGTGGTACGCAATCGTTGGCCAGACTAGTAGAAGTTCGGACCTTCGGACACGATAATCTTAGTATTCGCCATCTTCACGCGGAGACAAGTGACAATTTGTCAATTTATATTGCCTCTTAATATATTCCTGCAAGAAGAAAAACATCTATGCTAACTAGCCGATTAAACTCTTTTTTTAGTCAATCGATTTTGTTACAAATTTGTATGGTCCTAAATGAAATACTTTTCTAATAAATAAAATTTTTCTCCGAGAGAAAATTTGTATATATCATTACGTCTAATTTATCCTTTCTTTTTATTTTCTTATTATCAACCAAATTATTAAATTATCTAATGACGTTATCTCAATAGTTTTTCTTTTCTATTATCATTATTAACTTCTTATCTTGTTTTTATTAATTTATTAATTATATATCGTTATATGTATTTACTTTCATATCTTGGTAATCTTTTATATATCTTTATATATGAACAGTATTGGTAATATTTAGAAAATCTATTCTTTCTTATTCTTTCTTATTCTTTCTATAGCTTCATTTTCGATACAAATAGCAAAGGATAAAAGGACGTTTTTTTTTTTAACAATGCATCTTTTTTGAGAACGTTCAAATTTTCAAAGACTTAATATCTACATCTTATATGTTACAATATGCATTGTCAGAAAATATCGATCAATTTTAAGATATAAAGAACTTGAGATTAAATGTACTCCAATCTTTTTATTATTGATCAGTCTGCAAATAAACGAACAATACAAATTTTTTCGCAACAACAGTTTGTTTTAATAAAATAAATTCATTTAAAACGTATAACTTATTTTAACGAATCGTATTGCAAATTTGTAACAAAACTATATTATTAACATATTAAATATTCTTACTTGCTCGTTTAATCGGCAAGGCTGATAAGATTCTTTTCTCCTTCGTCTTCGCGCGCATTTTCACTTCATTTAAGTATCTCTTCACTGCTTGGATGAATTTTCGAAACATCCACGAGGATTCAAATATATCACGTCGCAACGCTCTTCTTCTTGTTAACTTCGTGGAACAAACATATTAAATAAGCCCTGAACAAAGTTCTCCCCAAGTGCACAATATTCTATATCTATGTCACGTACATTTTTATATTGTTTTTTTATTTATTTATTTATTTATTTATTTAATTTTTTTTTTTTTTTTTTTTTTTTAGTTTAAATTCAATATCGTTCGCGTCGATCTAGCAAACAACGATTCGTTCCAAGGAAATTCCGTTTTATAGAGTTAAACAGAGACGGTAAAAGTTCTTTTTATTGCTTTAAAATCAAATCTATATTGATGTATATTCAATTACAAGCATACTTTGGTTCTCTTTTTTTGTTACAATTCTAATAATTATCTTTTTTTTTTTTTAACACACGTGTTTCAAGAATAAAAAAGTTTGTCCGAAATGAACGGATCCTTTTATAGGTGATAAGATACGATTCAAGAAAGTTTCCCGAATCTTCGTGTTTTGATAGAACACGGATCAATTATATCGAATACATGTGTATAATATGTTGATCTACGTTCTATTCAATTTTCATGGTAGATATCAGAATCTACAGACGAAAATTTTTAATTTCTCTTTTATTTGTTTCGATATGTAATGTAAAATGTAATTTGTATGATTCCTGCGACGTATAAGCTTTTACATGAATGAATTCATGGAAGGCATGAAACCGAAATTGGACAATTTAGAATTGCGATCGCATTATCCTTCCACTTTAGAATATATATTAACATCCATTTCGAAGTTTTACGAAGCTCGTTAAATGATATGCGATTAACTGAAATATTCGATACAAAGTATGAGCAGCTTCGTAGCAAAATATGTAATTCTTGATATATTTTATGTACAATGGGTATAAGGATTTCATATATAATTGTGTACTTATATAGAATAACAACAGGCAGTGTAGGCGTAAAATAAAATTAGTTAAAAATTGTTAACTAAAACGCGATAAGTGCAATTTAGCACGAATCTGCTGCTATCTACTAGATAGCGTTAATACTGTTATACTTCGTGTATCGTACAAAATAAACGTAAAAGGGTAATTTCTCATTAAACAGGAAATATTCGATTAGATGATTAATGACAACGACGACGAGAAAAAAAAAAAAAAAATATTCGAAAATTTGGAAAACAAGAAAGAAGAATGTAAGAATACGCTCTACGCGTTACATGAATTTCGATTCGACTCGATTGTTTATTTCTCGTAGTCATTGGAAAGGAAAACAAAGGAAAGGCAACTTACACGATCACGAATTTGAAGAACGCCGCTGTATCAAACGCGTTTGGAACTGACCGGAGTTAAGCAGACGCGAACGTGTTTACCCTTTCAGTTTCATGCCTTTCCAATCGATCAGACTTCATAAATGTTTGTTTATAAACTTCGATACAAGCAGGAGTACGCTACGCTCGTTATCCGGGACTTTGAGTAAAATGAGATCTTCAGCTTCAATTGTTTTACGATTTAATACACGTATATCGTAACACATTTCGCAATGATGACGTGTTGAAAAGCGCGCCACCGCGGAACAAGATGAGAGGCACAAACACGTTCTTTCACCATCCGTACGTCAATTCCTTACTCTTACATATCCGTGTTACGGTTAGATAGATCAATTTGCCGGTATTAAACGGTCGGAGCCAACGGCTCGACTATCTTCAGTCACAAGTTTACAATATATTCGCTAACATCGACATTGACAAACGATGTTCTTCTTTCATTTGAACGATGATCGTACACGAAATGACGATGATAATCATAAACGATAATAATAATAATAAAATAATATAGTAATAATATAATATTATAATAGTGATCGTAATAATAATCGTAAGAAGAAAAAGAAGAAGAGCAAAGTTAATCGTGATAATAATAATGATAATAATAGTAGTAATAATAGCGGTAATAATGATGGCTGTGGTTTAATTTGATAACGACGGAGGCGTGACATCGTGACGATGATGTGCAGCACCGAATCTTGAGAAGCGGATCGACTTCCGGCACGTAGCAAGGTAACGGCCTCCCCTATTGCGGATCGGCTGCAGCTTTTCTTATCCATGGTCCTTTCACGCACTGCCGCAACACATTCTCCAAAAAAACTTCATCTGCACTTCTGTTACACGCGCACTGTATTGTCCCCCCCAAGACTGACGATAACAGACAGTCACTTTTGTCTTCCAGTTTTCTTCTTCTTCCGTTTGAAGAAACAACAGCATCTGCAAATAAACCAAACACTAATAGGACTTAGAGTCGTCTTCTTTTGATCGTTTTATTCTATGACACCAACATGCAGTACGACAAGGCATTCCAAAGCGGCGACAAATCGAATTTGTTTTCTCAAACCAATTTGCTAGTGGCTAGAATATTGTCCCAGACCAACGATCGACACATGACTCACTTGTTAAATAAAACAACATAAAAGAAAACAAGGAGTAAGAACGATGATTCTAAGGTTATAGTCATACGGTGTTTGATTAAAATCGAAATCATGTGTCATCGATATTCTCTTCTTCTAATCTTTTTAATACAAATTTTTGTATTACGTAACGATTTAAGTGTTATTAAAATAAAAAAAAAAAAAAAAAGAAAAGAATATTTTAAAGAAAATAATACGAATATGTATATAATTAGATTAGAATAACGATAACTAATAAATATTGTATTTTTTTTTTATATTGTATAAAAGAAAATTCTTTAATGGCCACTTGTGCTGGGATAATAAATTTAATTCAGGGATCGATCTAGGATCATCAGTAGGCGTAGGAAGGCAAGAACTTCGGCGTAGGATTTTTCCGCATCCACGACAATGCTTTTTTGTCGGCAAACATTTCTTTCTGAAATAGGACAGATAGGGCGGTTAACATATATCACATGCAAAGGATACGAGATTAAAAGTTATACGATGAGACAAGGATGTGACTTTGCTAATTTTTATCTACAATATTAGTGTATCGTTTTTAACGATAGCCTTTTTACTTTAAATCTTTAATACGTCACATATGCATGCATTAGTCACATAAATATTATTGGTTCAATTATAATTTATTTCTTATTTATCAAGAATTCGCAATCTACTAGTTATATAAGAAAAAAAAAAAAAAAAAGGAAATGTATAACGAACGCAATACTAACTTCGTTTCGTCGACCATGTCTACTTCTTGAGGCGCAGTAATTGGCGTATTAGAATGTCCTGCTGTAGGATCATCATTGGCTAGTTCTCCATTCGTCGAGGATACCACCTAAATACATGAAACATATTATCCGAAAGATTCTAAATAAATAGATGAAAATATATTTAATTATAAGGACATAAAAGCTAATATTCAATTGAAATTTCAAAAAATGAAGTTTCATGATTTACAACAGTACTATGAATTCAAAATATAACACGTATATGTAAAAAAAAAAAAATATTGTACTGAACTAATTACATAAAATACGTGATATCTGTTTATGTACACGTGTATAAACCTCTACTTTAGAGGACCAAGCCCATAATTTACGTGAAACAAGCGGCACTTTATATTCATAAGGCGTTGTTAATACAAACGAAGTGAAACTCTAAAAACATGGTACGGCTAATCAACTTGGTTAACAAGTTAACTCTTCAAAAATCGCGAGTTATTTTGTCGAAACTTTGGACAAACGTTGGAATAAAGAATGAAGGAGGAAAAAAAAAAAAAAAAAAAAAGAGTATAAGGCGCGATTATGGAAAATACAAATGAAATAGACTGTATTAGTGAAATAGTAATTGATTATAGAAGTGAATCGATCAACGAAACAAACGTTCGCATGCTGCAACAAACCAATTTGCAAATAGATTTCTAACTGACCATAATCCGGCGTTGCTTTGTCTAGAAATAGAGCGAACGGTTTACTTCGTGGACGCGTCTGCACGTCATCTTCTTGGGCTAAGAAAATGGAGAGGAGGGGGTGAGGAACAAATGGATAACGCGGACAGAGGCGCACTGTTTCTCTTCCTATTTAAACATAAACTTGCACTTAAACTTTATTCGACGAATTGAATGAAATTACAAACACAAAACTTTTTTTTCCTTTTTCATCATAGAATATAATGTTAAAAAATAAAAATATTTTCATGTTTTTTAAACATTGATCAAACATGGACAATTTACGATCGTAATATATAATCGTAATATTAATGTCGAGTATTTATCGATAAAACAAAATTTATAGATCAAATGAACAAAAGCATACGATAAAATGAAGAAAAAAAAAAAAAAAAAAAGAAAAAAAGAGGGAACGAGATGTATCTTTGGATAGATAAGTGAAATAAACGGATACAATGGACTGTACAAAGGATTGGCAAGGTCCACTCACCTGAACAGAACCGTGCCTATCAGCGGGTGTCAATGTACCACCAGCTCCTGATTGCTTCGCAGTATCTGTCCTCGAGGTTCCCACCCATTTACCGCCCCCGCCTCCCACCCCTGGTTCTGTCACATCCTAAAGGAATAAGCACTAAAGACCACTTTCCAACGGCAATGAAGAAAAAAAAAATTTTAAATACTACGGCGAATCTGCTTCCTAATATAAAAATTACGAATGACATTTGTTTTTTTTTTTTTTTAATCTTTGCTTATCTTTTATCTTTTTTTTTTATCTTGCTCAGCATGGTATAACTTTCTCGATCGTTTAACACTGAAGCGTTACGATACATGAAATATATTAACAGACACTCCGAATGATATTAAATGATTTTCAATTTACTCGATAATTGTGAGCTACGCAACTAACTACTATTCAAGTTTCGTCAACGATAGAAACAACATTGGGAGAATTGATCAACAAGGATTGTCAAATACGATATGTTTCAAATCCTTTCTTCACACATGTTGTTTTAAATTTAAGATTTTGGAAAAATAATTGAAATTTAAATTCGATTAAGTTTCGTCTTAATAAAAAAAAAAAAAAAAAATCGTCAAAACTTGTGATTTTACTATATATCGAAAGAAAAAAAAGACGTTTTATCTACACGATAACCGATCCTTGTATAATATACATTCAACTATACTCTTTCAAGTTTTATCCGGGATATACACGATAAGATAGTACATGCGTGAAGAAATAAGATCAGGTTATTACAAAAATTTTAATGGCTTACGTAATTGCCGTGTATTTCGATGTGAACCTCATCCATTGTGAGGGCAACATCATCCTCAAAATCATCATATTCCTACATATCGTTGATTTCCATGTTTCGCAAAGGAATAAAATCGTTTATGTAATGTTCTTTTTTTTCTGTCTTTCTCTCTCTCAAAAAAATAAAAAATCTCTTTCCGATCGAGAAATCAAGCTAGCTCAAATTTTTTTCGATTTTTATTATCTCAACAACGTTTCGATTTCCTTTTGACAATTCAATTACGAACAGTTTTCGTGAAAGTTATTTGAAAAAATATAGTATATATCTATATTCCGTTACCGATGAGGTGTATACTCATGCTGTTATTTCAAATAGCTAAGCTTCACACAATCATGCTCTTACTTTTTTTTTTCAAAAGGAGAGAAAAAAAAAAAAAAAAAAAAAAAGAAAATAGAAAATCGGTATAAAATCATATACGTACTTTGTACGGATGCCGATCACGATTTGGAGATACAATAATCTCTTGTCCAGTCTGCAAGGATCCAACAGGTGTAGACTGAAAACGGAACACAAATATTAGGTTAGAAAAGAGCGTATTATTACCAGATGTGTATACAGATAGATGAATTTCGTATAACATACTTGGAGACGGGAAAAGAACAATAATTGACGGTAATATTCAACATTATTATTTCGTGCACTGTTCTTCGCATTGGACAGAATAGAACGAGCATTCAAATCGAAATAAAAACCGGATTAATATCATGATTAATATCGTCTGCAAACAAAAAGCATCCCAATTAACCGATAAAAACGTGCTCTACGTTTCATTCACAAGCATGAAAGAAGTATAATAATATAGAAGCGAAAATTACAGCTTAGAAATCTAAACTGGATTTACGATATTAGCGTTCAACGTTCTACCAAAAAGTGAAAAGTTTTTTTAACGAGAATACGTGGCAATGGAAGGAGGATATTTGCTATTATTGAAATCCTATCTAAAGAATATTTCACTGCGAGTTTAAATTAAATAATTGAATATAAAGACGAGAGGAAAGGAAAGAAGATACGCATGCATAAGTGGTAAATACAATTCTTAAGCGTTTTTTTTTACAGATGTAAATACGAATCACGATCAGAATACCGTGTCTCTCGAAGGATATAATAAATAAGAATTTTCACGCACGATGAAATAAAAATCGATAAATTTTCAGCAGTGCTTTAGCGATTCTTGCTTCGAGCAAAAATACGCTTTTTTTTTTATTTTTTCACAAATTATTTTAGTGATACAATATTATTTTTTCGTGCACGTTAACAAATACGCGTTCTTTCAAATAATTTCAATTAATCAAACAGGGTAGATATATATTCGAATACAGGTAATAGAAACGTGATGCTCGTGTAACGTTTATCACCCACCTTTTCGGATCTAGTTTTCACAATGTGAGAGGGAGGAGCCATCCTCAGAATTTTAAACTCGTCGAAGTTGTGTGGCTAGAGATACATTGGAGGCAGCATGCAAACGTTAAAAATTAGTGATATATGATTTTCACCAAAAATCTCTGGAGGAACGACGTAAAGAAAGAATCCTCAGGACGACTTACTTACCCGTAAGAGACGATATCTCGAAGTTTCTAAGTACACGAGTATTGCTAAAACAACTACTATGTACAATGTAAAAAAAAAAAAAAAAAAGAAAGAAAAAAAAAATTTGACAAACCATACATCGATTGAGAAAGATAATCAAAAAATGTCATTAATAAAAATCTTTTAATTTACATAATCTAATAAATAATGTAGACATTATATTGTACATTGTGTTAATTGTAAATAGGAATCGTTTGAATATCAAAAACAAAAAAGAAAGAAAGAGAGGCAGGAAAAAAATAACTTTATTAATGGGTTTTTTTGATATCGACTCTTGCGATACGTGCTTCGTCCCTGGGCAAAATCGACCATCATGCAACTCTTCTATTATTCTGTCTTCCTTTCTTGCATGCATTGCGAAGAGATAAAAGAGAAAGTGACGTATACTGGGATCACTTGGCATTGAGTAACAATGCATCACGTACCATCGTCTTGCCAGTCCAGTCGAATTCTTCGTCGTTGATAAAACCCCGTTTCTCGTACAAGTCGTTGAAGAGATTCCTCAGGTACTCGTAGTCGGGCGTCTCGAAGAAATCCAATCTACGCACATATCGCAAATACGTAGCCAATTCTTCGGGATGGCCGTCGCAAAGAATCTCGATTGGTGTGTTCCGCTTCGTATCGCCGATCTTCTGATATCGTTCTTTCAACGTGTCCGCTTTCAGCCCTTGCCACGGAAGGCTACCACGCAGGAAGTACATCAGCATGTTGCCTAACGCTTCTAGATCGTCTCTTCTGCTCTGCTCTAATAATAAAAATACAAAATGAAAATCGTATCGATTCCGTTCTTATACATCTATCAATTCGCTAGATTATCGATATTTTTACTTAACTTAAATATTTTATATAACTTAATAACATTATTATATAATTTTCTTATATATATATATATATGTATATGTATATATATTTTTTATTCATATTTTAACGAAATACAATCGGAGATATCGGCCACGTAACGAACAAACGTTCCTGGTGGATTTAATATAGCGTATCGCGACGCGTGCTCGCTTACAACTTTCTCCAGGATTGAACGGAGAACGAGCACGCGGCCAAGTTTCAAAAGTTTGTGCAGATGGGCCGAGTGCAGCGGGTGGTTCCTCGTGCACGGATATCTAAATAAAACTTACCTTTTCCAAGGTGCGTGTTGATGCTCATGTAACGCGCTGTGCCCGTCAGGCTTTTGTGTTCCCGATACGGTATGTGTTTGTTCGTCTCCAGGTCTATGTACTCTTTGGCCAGTCCGAAATCTATGATGTGGATAATCTTTTCCCGTTTGGTCGAGGATCGTCCTATCAGGAAGTTTTCAGGCTTGATATCGCGGTAGATCAAATGCCGACTATGAACGTATTCTATCCTATGGAGCTGCATTAAAAAGGGAATTAATTTCTTATTAATAACTTGCAATATCCGTATTTGTTATCAACTATCATTTTAAACTTGTCAAAAACTATTTCATCGAGTTTTTTTTATTAAAGTTCGCAAATTTCGTAAAGGATATTTCGTGGAGTTTTCGAATAACAATTAGACATTTTGCGATAGTTAATTTAAATTGAATGGAAATGGTGATTACTGATTAATTCTACTTACGATTTGTGTGGCGATTTTGAGAACGGTCTTTAGGGTAAACCTCCTACCGCAGAGATCGAACAGATCCTCCAGACTTGGTCCGAGAAGTTCCATCACGAGAGCGTTGTACTTCCCGCAAGGACCGAAGTAATACACCTCTGGTACACCCTCTGGTATACAATTCCAGTACCATTGATCGATTAAATTGTAAAATGTTCGAGTAAATTTAATTAATCGCGTGCCCGAAACGTGGATACTACTACTCACCATTAGCTCCTAATAATTTGTAAAACCTATATTCTAAGTGTAGCTGCGGCGCCTTTGACCTCATTGGTTCCTGGAAAAAGGAAAAAGAAATGTCGTTTCAGAATAAAAGCGTCGAGGGTAAAGCTAATGTTTCTTTAGAGACTTGTTACTCGATTCAACGTGAAATCGATTTCACTACTACGTTAAAAAAAAAAAAAAAATCACGTTAACGAGATCTTTAGAGACGAATATAATAATCATTTTCGAACTCACCAATTTAATTGCTACATGCTCGTTATTGTAGAGGTTCTTTCCTGTAACAAACGATACAACATTTATAAAATACAAATTCTATATATATTTATATATATTCTATTTATATATGTTTCATTATCGTGCCAATTTGAATGAATAACACTCACACGTGTTATGCTGATTTTATTAATACCATTTTTGCATAAAGAATATTTTTACATACATAAACGATTACTGTTCAATGTATTTTACAAATAGCACGAAGTATATGTAAATATTTAATTATACTCGTCAAAATTTTTGCAACGAAAAAATATCAACGTGTTCAAACGATATTTCGACTTATTATTCAGGAGATGATAATCAATTACATAGAGAACAAAGAAAAAAAACTTGTTTAATTTTATTTATCTTCTACCTCCATTTTAACGGCATCATAATCGCGCTATAATTCTCTATCGAGACGACGATTCCCATTGATTGTGCTTCGCGTGAGAAATTGGATTGGCCAGATTTGTGGAACAACGTGCGCGGTCGTTGTGGTATTATGGTTACCGGTCATTAATGTTCACAAAGCTTCGTTGTCGCTTTTAAATTTATAATTCGATTTAATACGCCATTTAAGGGGAACTTGTACACCTAGCACGGTCGACAAGCATGCTCGAAAGGCGCGACGCGAAAGTGGCTTCCGAAACATTCTCGAAGACATAAAATCTTGTCGTCAACCGAATTCGTATGCGCCAGAGGAAAGATAGAGTGACCTCAGGAACGTCAACTCCGTGACGAGAATCCCAGTATCGAGCGAGGAGGAGTCAAAGCCTCGAGAAACTTTACTTTGCGAGCTGTTTGTTCGTCCAAGAGGAAAACCCACACCGTTTCGAAAACGTTAAAAAGTTACTCCGTGCTTCCGAATAACGAAATGGAAACTTTATTGGTAATTAAACAAGCGTGCATAATAATAACAATTGATAAGAATTCATTTCGTCGACGCACGACCATTTGTCGATCTTCGAAGAACTCTATCAATCAAGAACGCGCACCTCGTCGCTTTCCAATTATTCGCCAACGTTGAATATAAACTATAAAATATTTCGACGATGCTCGAATTCGATTGGTGGTGCTCTAGTCGCATTCGATGGCTGACTCGAAATCGATAGGAAGCGTGAAACGGTTAGTTAAGACTTTGCCTCGTGCCAAGTATTTATTCCGCTAATCGACATGGAGCAACGTTGATCATTAGTAGCAGGGGAGTCTAGAATTTAATCCCTCCGCGCTCGCTATATCGACAAGTCACGGACCTAGATATGCGGTAAAGTCGTCTAAGCACGGATAGCGGGGAATCGACACGGTCTCCAAGGGGAATCTAGAGCCGTACTGTACTTACCTCGCTAGAGACTTCAGCCTCACGTGAACTCGTGCGATTAAGGACGACAATTGGAATCTGGAATCGCGGATCGCGAATGAATTACACGCGAACGTAATTGACGAGTCCGTCACGGCGTTGAATCAATGCCGGATCTCACGTGCCAGCCGAGACGAGCTTAATGCGTGCGCGTGAACATGAACAGACATGATTCTAGCCTAGGCGCGTGATGATATTGTACGTGAGCGGACATACGGGGAGGAAATGCATTTAGTAGCTCGAAATCGCGACGATGAGGAGAAATATGGTAGGCGATTACCGGGGATCTACAACATAGCGTGAAATATATTTGCCAACGCGTATCCATCCGGTCGGACATCCGTTCTGCTTTGTATCGATCCATCGGGCGAAGACGTGTGTATACACAAGAGTAGAGGTTAGCAAGATTTCTCTCGTTGCGAAAATATGACGCGAGCGATATATAAACGATTAATCGAGTGTCCCAGAGACCTAAAGTCTTTTAAAGATAGTTTCCATTTTGTTAAAATGGAAATGATGATTTTGAAGATTTTTCGACGAAGAACGAAGTATGTAAAAGATCGAAAGCAGCGAGTTACAAAGAGTTAGCTCGAATCTGCTAAGACGATGAAAGTAAAGAAAGAAAAAAAAAAAAAAGAAAAGGGATCGTACAAGTGCAAAAGACGCGTACTTGTTTGCGCCAATCCTTTTCCTATACGGGACGGCTGCACACCGATCCAATTCCACTAAGGAGATAGTCGACAATGGAAAATATGTCAGCGGGAAAGCGCAAGACCCGCGGAAATTATTACAGCTCCGAATACCGTGGAAAAATTGATTTGTCCTCGAAAATAGGCCAACCCTCGCACAGTCTTGGCGATAAAGTCTCTGAAAATATTCGGAGCGCGTAGATGCTTAAACGAGAACGTTCTCTTACGTATGTATGTCCTGCTTCTTCTTCCTTCTTTTCATTTTCGATTCGATTAACCAACCAATTATGAATCATACTTTTTTACGACGTAATTTCATAAAAATAGAAAACTCGATGAACATGGCTGAGGATCGACGAAAATTAATTCGAACTTGAAAAGTCCGAACGATCGTCAACCGAGCGAGTTTGAAAGAAACTTAAATCTTCGAAAAGAATAGAATCGCGATTCAATTGTTAATAACGGCGCGTTAATTAACCTTCCGATTCTCCTTTGAGAGGAAAAGAAGAAAAAAAAAAAAGTGAAAGCGTATAACCATCGTGGACGAGGTGCACGATGAGTTCTCGAGTCGAACAACGCGAGTCGCGAGGCGGTTAACGTCGAGAAATAAATAGTACGTCGAGTCGTGGCACACTCGTCTCAAAACCGAATCGCCGTAACTCGCGATCGCTTTCTCCCGCTTTCGTTCCAACCTTCCACGATCGATCCCAATTACATAAAACGAGAAATTACGAAACGATACCCGATATATCTTATACTTTGTTTTTCGCACGTTTTTAAACATCGGCCACGCGTAACGCGTGAAACTCTCATTTAAAAATTCGTGCCTCGAGAGCAACTCACGCGCGTTTTACGCGACAATTAACGCGACCGTGGCGACTCGTGCCCGCTCGCGCTACACATACCAATTACGAATTAATACTATATTATCTGCACACAACAACCGTGTTCTACAACAAACATCTCCTATTTTACACGTCTACACGTGTGACGGTTCGATGCGATGGTTCGGTCGAGCGCGAATTTATCGCGTTCCAGGGACAAAAAACGACAATAACGAAACGGCTCGAAAAAGGATATTACTTTTTTTTTTCTTTTTTTCTTTTTAAGCGGTATCGATCCTTCCAGCCGGACACCTTGTTTGTCGGACGATCGAACATGGAACAGACGGTATTTGCAACGGGTCACCAGCCCGTTCGAAATTTTCCCGACGATCGATCAATTACGATGCAAGTTTGAATCGCTGCGGGCCACGCTCGGTTCACGGGATCGATCCTTGTCCACGATATCGTGATTATCGAATTTTCGAGCTTCCGTAACCTTGATGATGAAGTAACTCGTTCCGTTCGGAGTAACAGCTTTCTGGCTTGACTTGGGAAAGTTGGCGCCATCGAAACGTTGACACGAATATGGAATCGCGAGCTCCTATTATGTGTATATTTGCATTGCACGAAAAACAAATGTATTGTGACGAGTTGAATACGAATTTAATACAATTGAAATTCTCGTGTTGACGAAACACACGATTGGCTTTATTTTTTTTTTTTTAAATATTATATCGAAATCAATTACAAACTATGAATTCTAACTTCTCCAAATAAAGTAGTCGAAACAATTTTTAACAGATAACAGAATCATACGATAGATAATGGATTAACGTCCCTTTTCGAATCGATCTCGAATCGAAAGAAATTGAAATTACTCGTTTATTGTTATTAGAAATATTTGCATACGTTCTAGTGTGCCGCTTCAACTCGAAGACTTACGTATTTACGTCATCGATTTCACAATCCATAATTATATTATCTCCGTTTCAACCAACAATCGTGTTGTTCCAATTAATAATAAAATCCGCTAATCAAGTCTGTTGGGCGATAACGAAAATATTGACGAAAAACACAAAATGGAAAAAGTATGGGCCGAGCAACAGATAGATAAATAGGAGGATCGAACAATCCGTGTGAATAAACAAGAAACGGTGCACAGCCTCGACTCTCCTTCTCTCTCTGTTCATCGACCGAGAATTTGAAATTAATACGCGAAAGGGATCCAGGTCAAGTAATAACGCTGAAAGAGCTATTGTTTCCAGCGTTTCAGCAACGAAACAAGATTTTCATCCGCAGACACCCTGTCTGTCCCGGGAGGTCGACAAAAGCGGTCGACTCCTGCACCCGTTTCCCGCCTACGCGTATCGGAATTGCCACTCCGCCAGTGGATTCGTTCGGTATGCACTTGACGTCTTTGACCCAATCCGCGCAAACGGCGTACATATGTATACACAGTGATCTCCTTTGTCACGTGTGCCGATAATTAGACTCAAAGTTAAGCGCACACGCTCGATAATTAGGATCGGAGTAAGCCTATTACGCGCATTGCGTTTTCCGTCCTACCACGTGCGAACCGCATCGAGCAATTACACGTAGCAATATTATTAAGGAATATTATTAAGAAACTATCACTATCGCGGGGAGGAGAGGAAAAATCGTCTCTCAAGTTACGAATTACTCGGCTCGATCTTTATCCGCGTTAAAACTTAAAGGAGTTAGAGATTCCAGATTGTTCCCCATTATATTGGGCAACAAAACAACGGGTTAAATTAAATTTGTTTAATCGCGGTCAACTTTTTACCTTAATCCGGTTTCGCGCGCGATTCTTACACGGCATCTTTCGATATAATCGCCTTTCCCGAATCGAGGCAAGGATTCTCCGCCATAATGCAAAAATCCGACGATCCAATTACGCGAAGAAGGGAATATCTCGCGGAAGTTTGAGCTCGAGGGCGGAAAATGGAGATCCAGTTTGGCCGGTTCGCAACAAGCGATTTCTGTCGGAAGGCCGGACCACGAATTTGCTCCGACTCGGTAGTTTCGCATCGCCGGCCCGCTCCCGGATCCCTCTCTTCCCATTCCACACCGACACGGAACCGATAACAGAAAGTGGTATAAAAGGAGCACCGAGGCGGCGAATA